AAATTGCAAAGATTTCAAAACAAACTTCTTTCATGTTGTCATTATGGGTTGTTGTTTGTAGAATGTTGAGGAAAAAAATGAATTTAGTCAAATTTATACCATTTTGGAATAAGGCTGTAACATAACAAAATGTGGCAAAAGTTAAGCGCTGTGAATACTTTCTGGATGCACTGTACTAAAACATTGCTAAAAACAGTTCATTCTTTAGCCGAGCAAACTCTAGCTTCAATTCAGCGATTATAAGCAGGGTACTTTAGTGGCTTGGTGGTTGGCACTTATGCCTTACAGCACTGGGGTGCCTGGTTCAAACTGTGGCCAGGACACTATCTGCATTGAGTTCACATGTTCTCCCTGTGTGTTGGTCTCCTATGACACTCCAAAGACATGACAGTAAGTTAATTTGCTTCTGCCTAAATTGGCTCTCAATTGTGTACAAATAGGCTATGGATGTGAAATTGTAATCACGCAACCAACAATATACGACAAAACAAAATAAAACAAACAATAGACAAAAATAAACAACTCACCTTCCAGCAGCTATTACTAATGTGAATCACCCCACATACAAAGTATATTCTCCCTTATGTGCTATACTCAAATATTCACTGTTGAGCCAAAAATAAACTCACAAACAGTATACCATACAAAAAACTGAAATGTCACGTGAGTGATGAAAATATAGTTTTATGAAGAATACTATCACATAACAAGGACTGTGGATAGAAGTTACTTATCGTTTTATACGTATGAACGATTTCTTTGTCTCTGACACAGAAAAATAAAAAAAAAACAAATCCATCCGTCATCTTGGTTTGTATACTTAGGTTTGTATTTTTCCCCATAGCTCTACAATGCCACCAACATTAAACAACCACTACTGTCAATTATACAGACACTCTGGCATGCCCCTAGACCTATGTGATAGCACCTGGAGCCACATGACTAATGTACACTGGGGGTAGCAGGAAGCATATCACATGTTTTCCCATACCCAAAAGGCAAAACTACAAATGCATTACAGAAAAATATAAGCAGTAGAAGGTGCCTACTACAAAGTGGGGGAATGGATTTCTTTTTCATGGTACCATCACTTTAAAAGGATAAGTTCACCTTTTGTACAATGTTGCACCCGTATTCAGGGTGCAACATGCCCCCCAAATTCCTCGTTGTGACAGCAGGCCAGTGATCCTCCCACCGCACCTGCTATCAAAATTGTTTTTAAAAACGCAACCGTATGGAGCTCCGCTCACCCGTCCATGTTATTCATTCACAGAGTTCTGCAAATGGGAGAACTGCAATGACCATCAGTCATTGTGGCTGACGACTTGTAGTTCTCAAAGAACTACCAGGGCACTGTTGAGTGCTCCAATAGTAATTGATGCTTCCTGTCATTCAGTAACTGCCTGTCTGTACAAGGTATGAGCAGACAGATACACTAATGATCTGCAGGAGCTTGAGATTACATCAGCGAACTGCTGATCGCGGGTGCAATGCTTTGCAGGCTCCTAGTGAAAAAAAATAAATAAATAATGCACATTTTTTTACCTGCAAAAAGATGTGCATTTATTAGTTGTTTTTTTTTGGGGGGGGGGGGGGGGGGTGTTTGTACAAAGGTGAACTTATGTTTTAAATAAAATTAGGTATCAAAGTGTATGTCAAGTCAAGTTGTTGTTCAAGATTTGGATAGTGTGGGGAAGGATTAGAACGCCAGTCCAGACTTTAAAACTTTCCAGTGTTTCGCTCCAGGATTTCCACTCTCTTCTTGTCTGTCCTGCTGACAAAGGATTCACCAGACAGAAAGTGAGGGAATCAATCAGCAACAGTGCCAGTGAGATCAATAAAATCTGGATGGAGTCTTCTCCTACCAAGGGAAATAATTTTCTCTCCAGAACAGAAAGTAAGGGAAAATCTCTGTACTGGAGCCCTAAAAAGAAGTAAAACCTGTCAGAGGTTCTAATCCTTTCCTACTCTATCCAAAACAAAGAAAAAAAAAAAAAAAAAAAAAGAAGTTTTAGCTGTAGATTTTTATTGCTTTCTGGGATTCCATTACAATTATTTCACCTGACTGTCTAGACATCATATGACAGCAGTAAGATGACAGACAGAAAAAAGTTTTAGGGCCGGTTCACACTATAAAAATGCAGTCCAGATGCATTTTTGCATGTGCGTTTGACACATTTTTGGAGTGTTTTTGACGTGTTCCAGTGCGTTTTTTATGCATTTCAGTTTTTTTTCCTCTCTTTTTCTTCAATTTAAATAGGGACATGTACATTCCAGTGCATATTTGGTGCATTCCACTGTGTTCTGGTGCGTTTTTGATGCGTTTTACCAAGTTCCAGTACAGTTCTGTGCAGAAAAAATGCAGCCTGTTCTACTTTTTTTTTCTGCACCTGGAACTCACTGGAACTGCAAGCACTGATGTGAACTATGACACTGACAACCATATAACCTACTTTTTGTGCATTTTGGATACAGAAAAAATGCAACTGAAACACATATAGTGTTAACCAGGCCTTAGTGTGGGGAAAATCTGCAACAGGGAAACAGACAATAAAAAGGTAATGTGGGTTCTAACATTTTTACTTCTGTCTGTGTTTCTTTTGGAGAGAATTCCTCACTTCCTGTTTAGTGAAAAGATTGTCCCCAGGACAGGAAGTGAGGATACATCTCTCTAACTGAGCCCCAAACAGCAATAAGACTTGACAGAAATTGTGACCCTTCTCCTTTCTATCCAGAATTAAAAAAAAAAGAAGAAGTTTAGGTTATAGGTAATATATTTCCATTACAGCAACTCAAATGTCCCTAAAACACAGACAATATATTTATTACAGTCAATAAAGAAAGAGAAAACTAACATATGGTTTATCAGCTGCCTCATTGCAATAACTGTGCTTAAGAACTAATATTAAAAGAACATTAGATTAGAGACATTTTTAATGAAGAGAAACAGCTTCTTATATTTGTTATTTCCATTGTGCTAACAATAGAATAATTATTAACTCATTGCATTCAGGCAAAGGGAAAATCTGTAAACAAAATAAATATGATAATGAACAGGAATACCTCATACTCTGAATGTAATAGATGTGACTGTAGTCATGCTAGAACTACGGTATAATTAAAAACCAAATACTGCTTTTAAAACACTGAACTGAAAATAGCTCATTTTTCCCCATCAAAGTGAGAACCGCTATATTGAAAGCCTGGTGTTTGACAGCATTACAGCTGAACTGTAAACTGTAGCCGTCCACAATATGGCGTAAATGCTGCTGAAAAATGTCATCCCCTTTAATAGTTCTTTAGCTCTTACTGAATTTAGTTTCTGTTCAGAAATTGCATCCTGTCCAGCTGTCTGGTTGCAGAGAAAATGTAGACACAGTGTTCCGGGAAATGGATTCAGGAAAACACAATGGCAATGCCTGCACATTCAGTAATGCCAACTACATGATCATTAACAAAATCATTCTGTGAATTAGAACAAAGGTGGTCCTGAAGACATGGACTTTTCACTGCTATCCCAGGCACAGCACCTCTGAAAGTAGGGGCAAGAATAGATAAGTAAACCTTGGTTGGCAGTGCAAGGTATGCTTTGAGAAACATTTAATGTGAACCATAATGCCATCAAAGCATACACAGTGCTATCCATTAATACTGAACTCCAGGCAAACTACTAAATACACAGATAAAATATGCAGAGGGGGATGTTGTACCTGCCAAAGGGTTTGGGTTTTTTTTTGTCTAGCCAGTTTGAGATTTCAACAGTCCTGTCTGGCATGGAGGGGACCTGCATTTTCTCTGCTGCAGCTCAGTTAGCGTTTGTCTCCACTGGTGGCAGGCAGAACAGTGTTGGGGGATTTTCTACCTCTGAAATACCAAAAAAGTGCTCATAAAACAGCACACAGTACCCAAAGAAGCGGCAGCACTGCAACACTAAAAAAAAAAAAGGCCGCTGTGTGGCATTTAAGCACAACAGTGTGGGACAACTTTACAACTTCCCAATGCAAGGGTGCTTACACATGTTCAAAACATATGAGACGCCTTTGTGAGAGGTAAATCTGTAACACTAGTGAAGACAAGCCCTATGGCACCCCTCCCACCCCCACTATGTTACATAACACCAAGACTACATTCATACCAGCGATTAGGGCCAGTGAGCATTGTAGTAGCAGGAATCAGAGGCTCTTAGGAGCTAGGTATGGCTGCCAACCTATTCATTATAATGACAGATCGCCAGCAGCCACAACTCTCTGCACAGCCAGCAATTACCTGCAGTAATCACTGCTGGACACACACAAAGTGCATCCAGCAGCGATCACTGCAGGTAATTGCTGGCTGTCTGGACAGCCGCAAATACCTGCTGAAGCTGGCAACCTGTCATTATAGTAAACGGGGCTGGTGACCGCACCTAGCCACTCAGAGCCTCTTGATTCCTGCTACTATAATTCTCACCAGCCCTAATTGCCTGTGTGAATGTAGCCTAAAAAGGAGAAGGAGCTGACTAATGAGTTTGTCTCACTGTCCCTCTGCTCTTTCCTCCCATCAGCATTTCCCCTGCACTGCAGCACAACTTTTTCTGCTTTTTCCTAGCATTCAGCTTTAACAGGGCATTATACCTTTATTTTTCTATTCAATTTAATTTCTATTTTACTTACAATACGCAAGAGTGTATGTTCTTAGAAGCGGCAAGCAATGTTTAAGTCAATCTTTGTTGTACAGCTGATAAATCATACAGTATACATTTTCTCTTTTATTTCCTCTCTGGCATTTTGCATCTGTATTTAGTTTTTAATCTCCCCTGCCATTTGTTAAATATATATGCATTACAGGTAGAGTAAATTTAGACTGAACTGAATTTTCAGGAAGGTATGTCTCTGTATAATATCCATTTAACATACTCTAGACAAGCAGATCCTTCATCCTGTTACCATGGTAACAATAAGCTATTACTCTGTGGCATGTATTCTCAGCACCCGCCTGGACAAGTCCCCCTGATAGAATACCTGTATTATTCTGAGGAGAGCAGACAATTCTTCTATTTTGCATCATCTTATGTTCATTTCCTTCTTTTCGAGCTCTTCTCTTGCATTCGGCCGAGTCCCTAAGTGTCATCAAACCATAGCATTAGGAAGTGTAGAACATTTTTTGGCCACTTTAAGAAATGTGTACCTTTATGCAGCTGCCAATGTTTACCAAGTAGTTCTATTCCCCATAGTAATGTGTATAGTTTTTTGTCAATTGCTTCTTTTAAGTAAAAACACTGACAGGCATTTGTTTCAAACAATTTATCTTTTGTCACACCAGTTGTTAAACCTCTTGCATAAGGGTGTAATAATTTACTGATGTTTATACATAGGATCTTGCTAACCGGATAATCCTACAAGTTCTGTTCCATAAAGACCTCGCGTCTACCCGCATGCAGCTGCACAAACATACAAATGCGTACACATGTGTAAAACTCTTTTTCATCTTCCTCTAGCTGCCAGGGTTGCAATCTATGTGCAATCAATTGTATCAACTTGCATGTACATGTGTATGCATGTAAATGACTGCACTCAAATGTAAAATTTTTTGCTTTTTTTTTTTTTTTTTTTTTTTTTTTTAAGGCTCTGAATGCATCACTGCATCATGGATCTTTACGCAGCTTTGTACATTCTCCAATAAACAATCTACCTTTGTTCAGATCCATAAAAAAAAAAAAATGCATGACTGCACAGTGTTTTTTTCACCCATATGCAAGAGGCCATATCTGTCACAACCAGGGGCAGACTGACAACTCATGGGGCTCCTGGGCAATAGGGGATCATGGGGCCCGTGTCCTTGCCCAAACTCAAAAAAGGTACTAGGGGCATCTCATGGGGCCCCCTACTGATCCCGGGCCCTCGGGCAGTGCCCGAGTTTCCAAATGGTCAGTCCGCCCCCTGGTCACAACTGAGGCTCTAAATCAGTCTTAGAGATAAAAATTGGCCTAATCCAAGAATCACGTAGAATTGTACAGCATTGTACTAGGATTCACAGGCAAACAGGCAATGTAAATTAGTACTAGGTCAAACCATTTTGTCAATACCTATGCTACATAATAGAGAATGGGAAAAAAAACTAAATGCATAGTCTTATAAATTTCATATACTGAGCCTTCACTGTACTGTATCATCCACAAATGAAGAGCTTGCAGAGAAACAAGAGATAGCTGCATATTACTTCTTGATCTGCAGAAAACAAAATGACCTCTCCCTGAATATACCCTTTAACCCCCCCCCCCTTCCCCCCAATAAAAAAAACCCCTAGACCAGTCCTGCAGCTGAATTTACCACATACTGAATAGAGATACTGTAGCAAGTCAAGGCAAAAAAAGCTTTACTCAAATGGTAAAACATTGGGGTTGATTTACTAAAGGCAAATAGAATGTGCACTTTGCAAGGACAATTGCATTCATTTTCCTTAGTAAATGTGGAGAAGTGTACCCATTCAGGTGTAAGGAAAATAGAAAAAAAAAAAAAGGGATTTTTTGCTTGCACACGATTGGATTATGGAAATCAGCAGAGCTTTAGCTCATGAACTAAGCTCTGGGAAGAAAGAGGGCAACTGCACTTATAAAGTGCATAGTCTATTTGCCTTTAGTAAAAAAAAAATCCCATTTTATCCTAATGATGCCTGCTCTTATTCTGCTCATTTAGCCACAGAAGCACCAGTGCCATATGGTAAATCCTTAGCACAAATTAAATGCGGCCTAACATTTAAAAAAGCCTTTCTCCCCTCCTACTATTTGTGCCCCCATGTTGGCAGATCACTACACAACAAGGATGGAGGACAATCCGTACATCACTCCATTTGTTTCTTTTCCAATCAAACATATCACGCTGACTGATAGGGCAGAATAAAAAAGAATTCAATAGTACTCTCCTACTGCTTTTTCCTGACCTGCTCCGCTCGGATATAATGAGAAATGAGAAATCTAGACTTTTTTTAAGGCCCTGTTCACTATCAGGCAGCAAAACCAGTTTAACATAAGTTTTACTGCCTCAACCATCAAAATCTGGCAATGGCCACTGGACTGCCCCATACACGTTGTCAAAATGAACAGGGGATGTCACATATGGCAGGCAATTCCACCTGCCATCTTTCCCCATAGAGGTGAATGAGGCCATACCACAGTCATGATGCAACTGTTGCAAGCGCAGTGAAGAGGAAATTCAATATGAACTCATACCGCTTACTGATCACCTGCTAACAGCAGACCAGCTGTTGCTGACAACACGATCCACCACCACAAGTCAGCAGCTAGGCCCATGTGAAAAAGGCCATAGGGCCGGTTCACACCATAGAAAACAAGAGATAGCTGCATATTACTTGATCTGCATGCACGTTCTGATGCGTTTTTGATGCTTTCCGGTTCATTTCTCCCCCCTCTTTTTTTCTTCAATTTAAATAGGGACATGTGTGTTCCAGTGCATTCTAACACGTTCCAATAGTTCTGTGCAGGAAAAATGCAGCCTGTTCTACTTTTTTTTCTGCAACTGGAACGCACTGGAACTGCAAGCACTGGTGCAGATGAACTATGACATTGACAACCATATAACCTACTTTCTGTGCGTTTTGGATGCAGAAAAAAAGCACCCTGAAACGAATGTAATGTGAACTGGCCCTTAAGCAAGAAGACCACATAAAAAACATCACCATGCCCGCAGAAACTTACATAAAAGAATTGACGGGGGTCTCTGCCAGTCGTAGCCTCTTAGCATGGTTCTTTCCCTGGTAATGTGCTTGGGCTACCACTGGAGAGCTGAATGAAGCATCACATAGTTTGCAGTAATCATTCTCAGTGGCAAGGATCACACGGCTCCCACATTTTGGGGCTGTAACCTAAAAAACAAGATAGGTGTGATTTTTTTAGCATGAATTTTTCAGGAAATACATCATCAAAATATAAATCATTAAAAATATTTAAAAAATGTACTCAAAGAACCCCGACTCTCAATTATTTACAAAAAGGCCCAAAATGAAGTCAAAAGCCTGACTTGCTAATTCTTGGTAAAGATTTATCGTTCCCATGAAACAAAATAAAATTCCAGCTTAAGCCTAACTAATCCTAAAAATACTCTTTCCTCCTCCTAACACCTATACTAACTAACCTGTGTACAAAGATTTATATACTTACCTATTTTCAGCCCAGTCTAGTCCAGTCATGTGATTTGACTCCACTGTGTCAGCCAATGGTGGCTGCAGGGGAGAGGAGAGATTGCCGACAACAGAGAATTGGAGCCTATGGGTCATCGTTCCTGGCTTTCTCAGCCACTCTCTCCATTGCTCTGCAGCCACTGCTAACTGACACAGGGAATTACATGACCAGACCAGAGTGGGCTGAAAGTAGGCACGTATATACATCTTTTTTACACAGATTAGTTAGTATAGGTGTTAGGAGGGGGGAGAGGACATTTTTAAGACTACTTAGGCTTTAGCTGGAATTCTGCTTTAAGTAACCTGTCTTAATGAATTGTGTAGGCTGCTGTTGCTAACTTCTCCGTCTAAAAGAGATAGTTGCCAGGTTTTCAAGCTGATACAATGATTCCCGTACACTAACCTGAAACAAGCAACAAGCATGACGACTTGACCTGTTGCATGCTAGTTCCAGGTCAGGGTCTCACACTATTGAAGCAAGTGACAGCTTGGAACCTAGCATATAAAGGAGAGTTAAGTAATGGTAGCCTTCAGAATCAAATGTTCCCGCATAAGCTTGTTGGGTTGCTTCTGCCTTTTCAAGTAACTTTCTAAACTTTCTGTGTTTCAGATGTTTGTATGCCTCCATTCTGGAGCGTGTCTGTCTGTTCACTTACCTGGAAACCTTCTGTTCCATGCAAGCTGTTCGGTTTCCTCTGCCTCTGTATGGCTACCTCAAGTTTCTTATTTAGTGCCTGCTGTATACTGCCACTATGAAATGTTAGTTTTTTCATTTTAATCCTGTCTCTGTTAGACTGTTTCCCGTCTGTCTCCATTGTGTCATAAGTGAGGGATGCAGTGTGGGACTCAAAACTCCTACCACCAGGAGCTCAAGTCCTGCACCCAAACGTTGAGCCACTGCAACCCACCCTCTAGTCTTTGTTCCCTGTTTGTATGTATTAGTTGTATATATTCCCATTTTATTTGCTGCATATATCATTAAGAGAGGCTGTATATTACTTTATAACCTGTATTCAACAAAAATGACATTTGTATAGAAACCAAGCCAAGTTCTTACATTTGGTGACGATGATCCCGGTGATACTGTATCTAAAGTTGTATTCAGTCTTGATGATGGAGGACAGCTACTTGATGCACAGAAATTGCGTAATTTCTTGCTGTGGTTTTTGCCCTAAGAAAAATAACAGTGGGGAGAGATTAGTAAATAGAGAGAATTCTGCTGCAAAGTTGTTTACCTGCCTATCTGAGTTTTCTTCAGTAGTGGCTGTAGGACTTTTTTCTAAGTGCATTGATTTTGGTAATGCATGTTGAACCATGCTGCTTAAAGAGTTACTAAACCCAGAACCTGGTATTCACTATATCTGGTCTTTCACAGTACACACAACATGGAAATGCAATTATTTTAGTAAATATAAACTGCTAAATACCGTCTCTCATTAACAGTTAGATCAGTCTTGTGACTTCTATCAGCACCCAGCAGAAAACTGGTTAAAGCTTGTAGGAGGAGTTTTCATTCTCCTCTAGGAGGATGCAGCACCCCTGACCTCGGTTTAGACAGTGTTGATTGGCCCTGTGCTGATCACATGCAACCTCCCAAGAGGAAAAAACAACTCTCTAGCAATATACACCAAACTGAGCATGTGCAGAGTGACTCCAAACCTCTGTTCTATCAGGAGATATTTAGGGGATAATGGAAGAAGTGGAGGATCACAGAAGACAAACAAACATGCTTTATACACAATGTGGAGATATAACCCCTTAGGTTCCACAGTGAGTATAACAAGCATGTTTTACTGCAAATACAGGTCAATTTTACTGTTGTGGGTTTAGTAACACTTTAAAGCGGAGTTCCACCCAAAAGAGGAAGTTCCGCTTTAAAGATTGGTCCCCTGCTCCCCATTAAGATTGGCACCTTTGAGGAGGGAGCGGGGGGAGGGGGTGTTTTTCGTGACAGGCCCCAAAAGACGATGTGGCCATTCAAGAAGCGCAATGCTACTTGCGCATGCGCAGTGGGCACCCACACTGAAGATGCCGGAATCCTGGAATACGGGACGGCCGGTGAAACGGGCTGCGGCGGGTGCAACGTTGGATCGTGGGACAGATGAGTGGCTGTTTTTTAAAAGTCAGCAGCTACAGTTTTTGTAGCTGCTGACATATTTTTTTACAGAGGGAATGGAACTCCGCTTTAAGCCCTTCTATACAGACCCTATGACTGCTCCATTATTTAGCTCCCTACGGTGTGGATGTTTAACCTTTGGTTCTTGAGACACACACTTTGTAGTAACTTTAATTGGATTGCCCTTATGATGAAATACTCTCTTTGGCCTTTGCAATGCATGAGCTGTTTTTCAACAGGTCATCAGTGATATTTTCACATATCATAAAGGCAGATTTGCAGCTGTCTTCTACAATGCCATCCTGATTTGATCTACATCTCTGGAGTAGTGCAAGTTTCAAGAATGTAATATACTCAAGGACAGTCTGTACACTGACAAAGAAATATTTCTGTGTAACACTATAGGGTGGATTTACGAAAACTGGAGAGTACAAAATTTGGTGCAGCTTTGCATGATAGCCAGTCAACTAATAACTTCAGCTGGTTCAATTAAGCTTTGACAAAAAACCAGGAAGCTGATTGCTTTCTATGCAGAGCTGCACCAGATTTGGCACTGTCCAGTTTTAGTAAATCAACCTCTATGTCCAAGCATAGTTTGGCCATGGACCTCGTCAAGATTTAAGCAATATAGAACTGAGCCAACCGTAAAACCGAAAAGCCCTGCAAGAGCACGTATTAGTGAATCTGTGTTTCTGGTTAAAACGTTACCAGTTTTCTGCTAGCCAGGAGACCCACCACCATCATCTCTTTCTTGTCCAATGGGGGGCTGAACTCACACAGTCTATTCCCCTGCTTTTCTTTATAAGCTATATGGTCTATCTGGTTGGGTCTCCTTACTATGCTATTATTAAATAAATATTGTGGTGCCTATGTGTCTGTATACCCAATCCAAAAATCAAACAATAAAAAAATTAAAAATAAACGCCCGCAGTGTGCCTGCTAGGTGGGTTGACAGCTGCCCCTATAAAGTGGAAAACACTTCAAACATATAAAAACCGTGACTAGGTAGGAGCTAAACCAACCGTGCACAAAAATAAAAATGCAGAAGTAAACCATCTCTTATAACAGGAACCAATAACAAATCAAATGTGATAATACATATTCCTATGGCATCTAGCCAATAACATACATCCAACATTTATATAAGTGATAATAAAACAAACAGTCATGATGTGTTTAATGACAGTCCCATAGAAGTACAGTTGCAAGAAAAAGTATGTGAACCCCTTGGGATTATGTGGAGTTTTGCATGAATTGGGCATAAAATGTGCTCTGAACGTCATCTAAGTCACAACAATAGAAGAACGCAGTCTGCTGAACATAATACTACACAAACATTAGATGTTGCCATGGTTTAATTGCACATAACATGTAAACATTCACAGTGCAGGGAGGAAAAAGTATGTGAGGCCCTACCTTAATGACTTCTCCCAGAGCTAACTGGAGCCAGGAGTGAGCCAACCTTGACTCCAATCAGTGTCATGATATTGGATGTGTTGCTGACAGCTGTCCTGCCCTTAAAAAACACACACCTGTTTTGGGTTTACTGGTTTCAAGAAGCACTGTCTGATGTGAACCATGCCTCGCAGAAAAGAGCTCTCAGAAGACCTACAATCAAGAATTGTTGACTTGCATGAAGCTGGAAAGGGTTACAAAAGCATCTCCAAAAGCCTTGATGTTCATGTGTCCATGGTAAGACAGACTGTCTACAAAGGGAGAAAGTTTAGCACTGTTGCTACTCTCCCTAGGCGTGGTCATCCTGTAAAAAATGACTGCAAGAGCACAGCGCAGAATGCTGCATGAGGTAAAGAAGAATCCCAGAGTGTCAGCTAAAGACCTACAGAAATCTCTGGCACATGCTAACATTTTTGTTGACACATCTACAATAAGGAAAACATTAAACAAGAATGGAGTACATGGAGGAAGCCATTGCTGTCCAAAAAGAATATTGTAGCATGTTTGAAGTTTGCAAAAGAGCACCTGGATGTTCCACAGCACTACTGGCAAAATATACTGTGGACAGATGAAACCAAGATTGAGTTGTTTGGGAAGAACACACAACACTGTGTGGAGAAAAAAAGGCACAGCACACCAACATCAAAACCTCATCCCCACTGTAAAACATGGCGGAGGGAGCATCATGGTTTGGGGCTGCTTTGCTGCCTCAGGGCTGGACGGATTGTTGTCATTGATGGGAAAATGAATTCCAGAGTTTATCAAGACATTTTGCAGGAAAACGTACGACCATCTGTCTGCCAACTGAAGCTCCGCAGAGGATGGGTGATGCAACAGGAGAATGACCCAAAGCATACAAGTAATTCAACAAAACAATGGCTGCAACAGCACATAATACGCCTTCTGGAGTGGCCCAGTCAGAGTCCTGACCTCAACCCGATTGAAATGCTGTGGCATGACCTTAAGAGAGCGATTCACACCAGACATCCCAAGAATATTGCTACACTGAAACAGTTTTGTGAAGAGGAGTGGTCCAAAATTACTCCAAATTGTTGTGCAGGTCTGATCTGCAACTACAGGAAACGTTTGGTTGAGGTTATTGCTGCCAAAGGCGGGTCAACCAGTTATTAAGTCCAAAGGTTCACATACTTTTTCCTCCCTGCACTGTGAATGTTTACATGTTATGTGCAATTAAACCATGGCAACATCTAATGTTTGTGTAGTATTATGTTCAGCAGACTGTGTTCTTCTATTGTTGTGACTTAGATGACGTTCAGAGCACATTTTATGCCTAATTCATGCAAAACTCTGCATAATCCCAAGGGGTTCACATACTTTTTCGTGCAACTGTGTACTCAAAAATATAAGAAATACAAAAATTATAGAATATATAATTATCTGACATAATGGTATTACATGAAAATACATGGGATACACGATATACCAAAAATCTTGTAATAAACCATGTATAAAATATGACATTAAGCCCTTAATAGGGTTTTATATGTGTATAGGGCAAAACCACAGTGGACCACTCATGTGCCAGATAAAATGTACATACATACACAAATAATAAAAGGGGTATATAAGAATTTAGATGTGTGGGTATTCCAGCCCCAACATCCAAATACCGTATTTTTCGCTCCATAAGACGCACCTGACCATAAGACGCACCTAGGTTTTAGAGGCAGAAAACAGGAAAAAAAAATTCTGAACGAATGGACTGCAGACACAGTACAGGAGATGACCAGAGACTGCGGACAGCACAGGGATGACCAGAGACTGCAGACACAGTACAGGAGATGACCAGAGACTGCGGACAGCACAGGGATGACCAGAGACTGCGGACAGCACAGGGATGACCAGAGACTGCGGACAGCACAGGGATGACCAGAGACTGCGGACAGCACAGGGATGACCAGAGACTGCGGACAGCACAGGGATGACCAGAGACTGCGGACACAGTACAGGGGATGACCGGAGACTGCGGACAGTACAGATGACTGCTGACCTTTGGGGAGGTGGGGAGCGGGTACCTGAATTTGACAGGTACCCGCTCTTACTTCCGCAGAGTTTTTGTCTGATCTTACCTGTTCCTCGATCCAGCCGCGCGCTGTCTTCCCGGCTTCTGTAATGGCGCTCGGCATGACAGCCGGGTGCCCAGTGCGCATGAGCGAGAAGCACTTGCGCTTTGTGATTGGTCCGGCGGCTTCTGGGATCTGTCATGTGTCCCAGGTACCGCCTTACCATTCACAAAAAGCACCGCTTCTTGCGCATGCGCACTTGGCACCCGGCTGTCATGCCCAGTGCCCACACTACAGAAGCCGGAAGACAGCGCGCCGCTGGATAGAGGAACAGGTAAGATCAAAGAACAAAGAAGAGCGGGTACCTGTCAAATTCAGGTACCCGCTCCCCACCTCCCCAAAGGTCAGCAGTCATCTCCATAAGGTCCCGCTGCAGAGTTGAGCGGCCGGCCCGGTATTCTGACACGGCCGCGGTGGAAATACCGGACCGGCCGCTCCTCCATAAGACGCACTGACATTTTTCCCCCTTTTTTTGGGGGAAAAAAGTGCGTCTTATGGAGCGAAAAATACGGTTAC